TTTGGGTCAATTTAAGTTTTTGCTGTTATAAATAATACTTTTTAAACATTCTTGACCATAAATTTTTGTCTGCACAAATTATTATTAACTTCCAATACTTGCATTTACCAATTAGATTGGACTAGGAACTTTATTGTTACCATAAACTGCACTTTACACATCATATTGAATCCTTACCATAAACTCTGAGAAAAGTATCCCTATTTTACAGGGGAGGAAACCAAGGCATAAAAGATTTGGAGTTCTGCTACCCTCTTTTTTTCTTGAAGCAGTACCCTGAGAAATGGTTATAGTTACCCAGTGGAGTATCCCAGACCCCTACCACCCCCAGACCCGAACAGCTTCTATAGTTGTGGGGAGGGTGGTGGAAACTAGGGAATTGCTGAGTTCGTTGATTTCTCATTTAAGGTCACAAATCCTTGATCCTGGTCTCATATAAGATTCAGGGATAAAGAGTGACATAGCCACAGGTTCATTCCTTGAGCACTTATGATGGACACAAGAGCGCAGAGGGTCTTCCCTGATCGCTGCCCTGCCCGTGCATGGGTAGTTGTGCTGTCCCGGAGCCGTGGTTCCCATCAGACCTTGAATGCTGTTCTGTGTGCTGCGTTATGGCCCCCATCCTCCTCCATGATAAAGGCATTTGGGGCCCTATGAAGGTCACGACGGCTCCATTAAGAAGTTCCACGCTGTGAAAGTAACGAGCAAGAGCCAGAAAAGATTGACTGTCAGTATTAATATCCAAGTGTTTCTTAGGGGTGTCCCAGTAGTAAGAGTTGTGGCAGCAGCTGAGACTATGTTGGGCAGCAAAACCTTTCTTGGAAGGGTAGGTTCTCAGCTGTCCCCTGAAAGCCAAGAGAAAAAGGACTGGGTATTGAACGTTCCAGGACAAACAGCATGCTGAGAGCTTGAAGTAGGACAGAGTAGAGTTTTTGGGCTGGGGAATTTGGCATTCCTACGAGGTCCTGATATTAAAACAGAGATTATTTTTAGAGTGGGAAGGAAAACTGCCTCATGGCTCCGTATGGGCTCTTCGTATGCACTGACATCTTGGAGACAGAAACAGACAAATACTAAAAGTGCTTAGGCCTTTTGTGGTTTTCAGAACCTTAAATAAATATGAATGTGAAATTGACATTAAGGTGGTAGAACATTAGCTTTCTGTGGGGCTTATTTGTGTTCCTGAAATAGTTCTCTAGGTTAATCAGTAACAGGCTGGGCAGGGCACACTTTATTTCTTCTGCTTTCAAGAGACCCCTCAAGGACCCAGCTAGACGGCCCATGCGTCAGGCCCTGTGACCCTGCTTCATGAAGCAGAAACTAAAATGAAACAATTAGAGAATATACCCAAGTGATGCAACAGGAAAAGTCCCCGTTGGTTCTTTCCTGTTGCTCTTAAAGAGGAGAGGGAGACGATGGGAGTAGGGAAGTAATTGTTTTCCTAGTGCAAACTACAAAGATAAAGTTCAGATTGGCCAGGATATGCAGTATGTCTCTTGATTCCCTCTTACCAGGAAGGTACTGAAAGGGGAGGGAAGTGTGGGCTTCGAGGGGGGCCGGGTAAGAGAGGTGGGGAAACTGCTTTCTGTTCATCAGGCCCAGCTACCAGAGTTGGCACAGGGCTTGCTGGGCAGCAGGGCTGTCTGGACCCTGGCTGTGGCCCCTGTAGCAGAGGTGTTCCGTGTGGATGCCGAGTTGGACCAGAAGCTTCGGGGCCTCTGTGCCTCTTAATGTGGACCTCGTTTGTATAGGCTGGGTGCTTATACCTCCCCCAGAGGCTCACTGAGAGCCCAAGAACTTGTTCAAATCAAAGCACGGCCATTCAGTAGCAGCTCTGTGACCTTGGGCAAGTGTTGAACTTCACGTACCTCAGTTTCTTCATCCACAAATGGGAACTCTGGCAGTATCTAGCCTACAGGATTGCTGTGAATCTAGTGAGTTTACACTTCTGATGTGCTTAGAAGCCGGCTAACACCATTACACACTCAAGAAGTCATTAGCCGTTGTTAATATGTCTGTGGTGAAGTATGGGGATACTCTGTCCCTGCCGGCTGGCGGTGTTTTCAAGGGCCTGCAGGTCTCAACCTGGATCAGGCAGTTACTCACACAGAAGGTCCCTGCTCACCAGCAGGCTGGGTTCCCAAAGGTGACTGAGCTTGCAGAGTGTGGCTGAGGCCTTTGGAAACTCAGCTTTGCTCAGTGAAGCAGTTTCCATGTTAGAGGAGAGGGGAGTCCTGTGCAGATATTTTGTTTCCATCCTACACTTGACCAGGCCACTGTCATTTGCAGATTAGAACCAGCCTTGAAACTATGTTTCCATCTTTGATGAGGAAGCTTTCCCTATTTATGCCAGCCACATGGAGGTATTCAGTAGCCACATGTGAGTAGCAGCTACCTTGTTGCGCATGCAGATAAAATCCACTGTTGCAAAATACCTGCTAGGTAGTGCTGGTCTGTACTTCTGGGGTACCTGCAGGAGTACTGTACAAGACTGTTTCTAGTTTTACCTAGTAATCCATTTAGCAGTGTTTACATAGTTTTCCAGCTCCAGGGGAGCCTTTGTCTCTTGGTGGATTAAAACACATAAAAAGGAAATGGAGACTGGAATGCAGCCTAGGATACGTGGTAACCATCAGAGGCAGTGTGTTCTATGAATTCAAGGGAAAGGAGGACGTATGTGTCTTGAGCTGGCAGGACAGGCATTGTACACATGGCATTTGAATAATGCTCAGAGAGGGTTGATTGAATCTTTTTCCTGAGCTCTAGCCTTACACATCTGATTGTGCATACAGCAGTTCATATCCCTAAAATATTTTAAACTTAAGATGCAAAGCCAATCTCACTATCTCTCCTCTTAAACTTTCCCATTCCCCGTGTAGCATTACCTCTCACTTGGGCTGAAAAAAGAATAAAGGAGGCCATGGAAATCCAGAGAAGTTGAAGGAAGGAGGAGAGTTGAAATTCAGAAAAAAGAACCCAAAGGTGTCCAGTTTCTCTGTGAGGTTGGAGGGAAGACCCTTTCTTGGGATTGTTCCCAAGAAACAGACAGATCCGCAGTTGCTCCTTTGGGAAGTGGGATCAGAAGCTGAGGAAGGAAGAGCAAAGGAAATCTGTAGAGACTGAAAGCTCGATGAGGTGATACACTGTAAATTTGTGATGAGATTATTTGGCCTATCATGAATTTTTGCAGTGGGAGCAAACAAGAGGGAGGCAGTGAGATCCATTTGCAGCGGGAAGTGGGAGAGCTGCTCGGTGGAGGGTGGGTGGGAGCAGAGAATGGGCGTTCTAGGGAAGGGGGACAAGAAAGTCAGGTCAAGACCCCAAAAGGAAAGTCAGGGAAATAGTGCTCATTTGACAGTGGCAGCGCACAGGATTCTGTGAATGCCAAGGTAAACAAGGATGCCAAAGTGGATTGCAAACCTAGCAAGGGCACTTGTAGGCCTTGATGGGGAGTCGACTCTTTGCTAAGGGCACCAGTGGAAAACCAGTGAACGGTTTCTAAGCATGTGAGTCAGCAGCGCAGATTTGTTTTTGAGGTTGTGGAATCTCTGACAGAATGTGGACAAGGGCTGAAGGTCGGATGGCCTGAACACGGATGTTGCTGTAGAGTGCAGGCGAGAAACGAGCTCTCCCAGGCCGGGCTCCACTCGTGAGCGCGGGAGGAGGGTGTGAGTGATGGGGGCAGCAGACTGCAGCACTCGGTGACTGAAGTGACGATGGGTGGGAGGGCAAGGAGATGGGGATGGGGCGGGGGTGGTGCACAGAGGGCTCAGTGGGGACATCGGCTGCTTTCCCATTAATGTGTTTAAATTGGGTTTCTTAAGTTTGTCCAGAGTATTGCCCTTGGGGCTCGCTGAGAGAAACGCATATCTGTGTTAACATTACATGCAACAGGTATTTTCAGAGCTCTCTGTCCAGATGAAGACCTGCTGTCCTTATGAGGCTGCACTGTTTTCTGGAATGATTGCTGATTCGCTCGCTATACTGAAAACCAGGGCCATATTGCTGTCTTTCTGAGTGCATGAATGGAGGCCCGCAGGCAGTTTCTCGGTCTGCTGGGGACTGTGATGAAGTAGCGTACCTTAATAACAGAGGCCGAATCTCACTGCTTCAGGCACCAGTGTAGTGTGTGGCCAGAGATGATAAATGTTGTGAAGTAGCTATGGTAAAATCTTCCAAAAGGAGACAACATTTTTTGCCTAATAAGAAAAGTGTGGACAGAACGGCAACTATGGTAACCTATCATCTGGGTGAGTCTTAGTGTGGACAGTTTGTTTTGTGGTAAAGGCATCTTGGGATGTTAATTACATGTGCATGTATTTCCCAGTAACAAGGGATTCTACTCGTACTTGGGCTCCCCCTTCCTCGTGTCCCAGTTGGAGATGTTTAAAGCCACTGGGCCAAGGGGTACTAAACGGCAGCGACTCCCATACTGCATGGGCCATCGGAACTACTCTAAAATGATCAGAGATGTTCCTGTTTGTTTCTCCTTCTTAGGATGGAACCAGAGAATTTTTTCAAAAGTTCCCCACGTAATAATGTTGAATACCAGTTTAGGAATACTGGTATAAATAGAACGGAAAAGTGTAAGTATGGGTTACGATGTATTTAGGGGTTGCCCTTTGTGGCAGTCCTTCCTGCAGCACATTCATCCTGAAAAATCCACCTAGTAGAAGTCATGGTTGAATGACTTAAAACCATATGAAAAGACCTGAGCTAGAATCTCAAATTCTTTAATGAATCCATGATATATATCTTCTAAAAATTCAATGAATGCATGAAATGAAGATGATATCAGGGATACAGTGGGTATGATACAACTGATTTCTGTTACTTACTCACTTTCCTGTAGTTGAACAGAACTTTTAAAATTCCGTTTTATGTAAGTGCAGATAATATGCACAGTTCAGAGGCTTGCTTTTTTCTGAGTCTGGCATTCCATCCAAATGTTACATGTCTTTTTAATTTCATGACTGCCAATTGTCAATTTTGTCCTCCAGGGTCCCATCAGAGTGTGTCCAGTGATACAGACAGATATTGCAGGTGAGGAAATATCAAGCATAGCCAAATAGAAAGGTCTCATATCTCTCCCCTGCATAGAGAATCAGGTTGTCTTTGCTCTGAACATGATGTTTTCAAGCCAGACTTACGCAATTAAGCTTTGCTTATACGTTTTATTTCTATGTCCCAGTGGTCAGTCCAGTACTAACAGTGAGTTTGCTTCTCCTTGTCTTTCTGTTTTGTGCTCTTCGTTTTCCACTTTACTCCCTCCCCCGACCTGCCACACCCCCCACACCTGTAGACACACTCTCAGGAAGCATTTCAGCCTAATGCAATGTTTTTTCATTTCTGTTGGCCATAACCCAATATGACAGAATGTGATACAATGTAAAATTGATAAAAAAAAAGTTTAATAAAACAATACTTACTCTACATGTGGTGAACATTCATATTTTCTATTCTACATTCAAGCACATTAAAATTAAATTTAAAATGCTGATCATAATCCAGTAATATTAATCTTAATCCCATAAACTGATTCCATGACCTCCTATTGGATTGTTAGCAAAGGTTTAAAAAACACTGGTTCTGGCATATCCTTTGGAGGCAGGCAGATCTGGATTTTAATTTTAGCTTAGTAGACATTGAGCTTGGTAAGAAACTTCGTTGCCTCATCTTTAAAATGAGGGAAGATACAGTGCCTCATGTAGCTTGCTGGGAGGTTAAAGAAATAATGCATGAAAAGCATTTGTCTTAGCATCTGACTCCTGTAAGCACTGGAACAAATTCTGTGTTTAACTTCAGCTTTCTCTCAATTCATATAACTGTGCATGGAAATTCTTTTGCTGAGAAGATATAAAATAGTGTGAAGGGTGTAGAATATCATAAGAGGAGCTGTATTTGGGGAAGGATTATTGTGTGTGTAGGAAAAAAAATACTAGTAAAAATAGCTGTGATGTTCCTGTGTGTTATCACTTGTGTTTTGTTTTGTTTTCTGTACATTCTTACAGCCACCATCCTGAACCAGAGCAGTATTTTCTGACTTACCACCTTACCTCTGTTCGCTCTGTATCTAGTGCAGCTTGGTTTATGATACTGATACATGGCTTTTTCTGAAGTCACACACTCAGAAATCTTTAATAGCTTATTTAGACAAGCTCAGAATTTAGCCAGGCATTTGAGACCCTCTAGAAAGACTTGGCTTCAAATCCAGACTCTTCATCTGGAGGCCTTATGTGACTTGCACATTCCTTCCTTTCTCTTTTCCCCATTCTTTTCTTTCTCTTTTATTTTATTCATTTTTCCTTCTCCTCCTGCTCCTTTCCCTCCTCCTTTCCCTGTTCTTCCCTCCCTCTCTCCTTTCCCCTTCCTTCCCCCTCCCCTCCCGCCTCCCTTCACTCCCTTCCTCCACCTCCTCCTCCTCCTTCTTCTTTGTGGGTTACCTCTTAGCTATACTTTTCCTCATTTGAGAATAATAATTGGTAAGAGCTGTTGTGCAGGTTAGAGATGATGGATATTAAATATTCAGTGCAGTAATTGCTTCCCGTGTGCTAGATGAGTCTTATGAAACTTCACCCATGGTGCCGCATAGCTAGGTTGCTCTGCCTTATCAGTAAACACATCTTCCTCAGCCCTTCTTTGGCTATGGACACCAACCTTTTACCTTACCTGGTTTGCCTGCTACCTTCCCTCTGCCTAAGTAATGTCTCTCCATTTAAAACTTTTTTTACCGTAAAACTTTCCTTTACAAATCCACTTAATGATTTATGTATTCCTTGTGAGCTAGTTAACTTAGTTGGCAATTAATCTTATACTACCGTCTGATCTCTATTGCATAGTTTTATTATTATAATTGTAGTATCATTAGTTAGCCTTATATAATTTATGTCTCACATTGCCAGCTAACTTATTAGTTCCCTGAGGGTAATGATCACATTTCACACATCTTTCAGTCCTCCACAGCACTGTGCACAGTTCCTGGTAATCCTGTGTGTGTAAGAGATACCTGTTGATGTGCTGGAATGTGGAGGACTAACTGGGTCACTCTCCTTGAAGGAGGAGCAGTTGTCTCCATTTTGGCTGAACTTGACTCTATTTCCAGGTATTGACATGTACAGAGCTGGCTAGGACTTTTCCCTGTCCTTTCAGTTGGCTTTATGCAATGCATATCGGTCCAGCCAAGGTGCTGATGATAGTCTTTGTTTGTTTGTTTGTTTTTCTGGTACCGGGAATTGAACTCAGGACGTCACGCTTGCCAGGCAGGCGCTGTGCCCCCGAGCTAAATCCCCAGCCCCCTGATGATAGTCTTTAAAGATGGCAGGCAGTGTTTCCCCAGACCCCCCGTTGTTCCCTTGTGTGAGCTGGGACAAGGCAAGATAAAGAGCTCCACACTGTTGCTGGGATGGAGCTTTGAGATAGAGGCTATGACTTGCTAGGGCTTGAAAGATTACACATCAGAGCTGAAGCACCAACCCCAAAACATTAGATATAATCTCAGTTGTGTTATGCAGATTTCTCTTTCTGCAGATCCTTCTCTCTGCATATTGCAGAGGTGATTTCGAGCCACCTACCTAGCCCAGCTCATGGCACTCACGTACTTCCCACCACTTCTGCGGTCACTCATCCTCAAGCCTCTCCCCTCTTCACAAATTAATAAAACCTGGGTTTGGCGCTGAGTTGAGGCCTTTGTTCTGGATGGCCATTATCATGACTGGACTTCGGATCCCTTGGCTCCCCATAACTACAAATATGCCTTAGTGTCTTTATTCTCACCATGGGTTGCATTGGAAGTGGTAGATTAAAATTAACTCACTAAAATCCTGATAACTTCCAGGGGATTACAAATGTAAACTTCCTGGGCCACGACAAGGACTGAGTGGGGCTCTCTGTACCGGGTGAGTGGGCACTGAGAAGGCGCATGGCGAAATTCAGGAGTGTGTGCTGCTTAGCACTGTGAGAGCAGGCTCAACAGGTGAAAAGAGGTTGGAGTCAGCTTTCACTGGAGGTTGATGGAGAGGCAGCCTCATGGCTATGTGGGGGCAGCTGTTAGGTGACGGGAACCCGTGCTGCTGCCTGAGGAGTGGGACAAGGCACTGCTGTGTTCAGCTTTGGTGACGCAGACGCAGCCACCAGCCCCCTTCCTAACTCCCCTTCCTTTGCGCAGCTCTGACGTGTCTCCTAGGATGCTGTTCCTATCACCTGATGAACCGCAGCGCCACAGACTGAAAAGTCTCTTCAACTTTTCTCTGAATGAAGATGATTTGATTTTATGTTCATTTTTAAAGGAAATATTCTCCAGACATAAGATTTTTAAATGGCAGTTATTTTTTTCAGCACTTTGAAAGCTTCTCTCCAGATATTCTGTCTTCTGTTGTTTCTTCTTTTGAGTAGTCGCTGGAAAGGCTTGTGGGGTCGGGGGTTGTGTGTGAATTTTTTTGGCTATTTTTTTTTTAAAGGTAACGAGTACTTTTCCCCTTCTAGAAGTTTTTATGATGTTTGTCTATGCTTTTGGCAAGCATTCTACCACTGAGTCACATCCCAAGACCATTATGCTTTTGGTTTTTGGCGGATGTGCTACAGTATGCCTAGGTGTGCTTTTTGATTTGCATTTGTCTAATTAGGCTTTGCAGTGATTCTTAAATTTGTGATTGGAAGATTACAAATCTTTTCAAATACTATTTCTGCCTCATCCTTTTTCCCATCTTTGTGAAATTCCAAATTACCCATATTTTAGACCTTTTCAGTGTTTTCCCTATGGATTTATGTTCTTTTTATTTTTAAACATTTTTTCCCAACCTATTGATCCCCTCTTTTCTTTTCTTTTGATTTTTTGAGACAGAGTCTTGCTATATAGTTTAGGCTAGCCTTGAACTCGTTGTGTAGTCCAGCTAGGCTGGCCTTGAATGCACAATGACCCTCCTGCCTCAGCCTCTCAAATGCTGGGATTACAGCTATGCACTACTGTGCCTGGCCTCATCCCCCTGTGTCATTTTCTGTATTTTCATCTGCCCCATCTCCTGGCTCCCTTATATATTTTTTTTCTCAGTTTGTGTTGAAGTTAATGTTAGACCAAACCATTGAGTTCCTAATTTAATGATTTACTCCTTAGTTCTAGTCTTTTTTTTATAGCTTCAATTTATTCGCCAAAAATTTCCACCTTGTCTTCTAATCCTTTAAATATATTAGACATAGGCTTTTTTTTTTTGTAGTGGGGATTGAACTCAGGGCCTTGCATATGCTACGCAAGCATTCGTCCACTGAGCTACATTCCCAGTCCAGGCATATGTATTTTAAAGATTGTGTTTAAATACATTTGGTCTAGGTAGATTCATCAAATCTTTTAAAGACCCGTATCTATTCCTGTGGGTCTGTTTATATTATCCATTACTTCCCTTAGTTTTTTTTTTATTTTATTGCCTTTTATCTTCATACTCCTAGTTAATATTGATTGAATGCTGGTGATTGCATATGAAAAGCTCCAATAATATGAACCCTTAGATAATGTTGTCTTCCTAAAGATAAGATTCACATTTATTTCTGGTAATTCCAGATCATTTTAATTTGATCAAGGGTGACATGATTCAAAGCTGGGCTTTGATCCTTGATACTACTCTGTGTATTTCCACTTAGTTTTATTACTTACAACATTGGGCGAGGTGGTTTCTAGGACTCCCTTTTCCTGGTCAGTTCCCGCTCTACAGTTTTTGTTCCCTTCCTCACCTGAGCCCTATGCCTTTTCTTTTAAGAGACAGTAGATTCCCTGGGCTGGGAGAGGAGCCCTAAATATCAAGCTTACCTACCTGGGTGGGTTTCCTTCTCCCAGGCTTTATCCACCAAACTTTTCACACCCTTGTCAGCTCCCTGATGCTTTATTTATTTATTTTTTCCATGATGTTTTAAAACAGATTTTTAAAAATATATTTTGTACATGTTTCTAGCAGGGGCGTTTCGATGTCTCTAGAACTGAATAAACACAATTGAAGTGTGTCTTAGGAAGATGATGCTGTTCAGTGGTGTGCAAGTCAGAGAAGGACGGGGAGAGGTTTAATAGTAGAACAGCGCAGAGACTGTCCTAACCGAGGGCCGCGTAAAATAGGAGGAAAACAAAGATGAGGCTGATACACCTGGGCTGCTCACATTAGATTGACCTGACTAAGTCTTGGCTTCCTTTCTGACTAACAGGTTGCCTTTTCCCAGTTCCCCAGTCTATCCTGCATCTGTTGTAAGAGATAATCAAGTTCCTACCACCTAGGGTTGTAAGAGTTAAATAGTGTTAGTATCAGCACAGAGTGAGAGCCAGTAAATAGTAGCCATTGCATTACTACTTCGAGACCCAAACTTCACTTATTTAGGTGAAAATTTAGCATCACTGTTTATGGCACTAATTAGGACCACAGCAATGTGAACTTCATAGTGGATCATTTATGCTATGTGACTCACAGTGAGTAGCTCTGACATTAGTGATATTTGAAATACATTAATTCCCCTTATCTGGGCTTTGTTTCATGTGATTGCAGTTACCCTGGGACAACTGGGATTTGAAAATATTAAATGGAAAAATTCCAGAAATAAGTAGTTCATAAATTTTAAATTGTGTGGTATTTGAAGTAGAGTAATAAAATCTCATTCCTTTCTGCTTCACCCTCTCTGCGGTGTAAAATACCTTTGTCCTGTGTGTCCGTGTTGTGTACCTTACCCGCTCATTAGTCACTTAGAAGCCATCTCAGTCATCAGATCAACAGTGCTTGTGTTTAGGCAACCTTTATTTTATTTAATAAGGGCTTCACAGGGCGAGTGTAGTAAGCTGCCTACTTGGATATGACGGAGAGAATCCGTGAAGTGCTTTCTCTAAGTCAGAAGATCAAAGTTTACCATAGATAACTGTTTAAAGAAAAAAAAACCCAGTATATATAAGGTTCAATGCCATCCATAGTTTCAGGGATCTTGAATCATATTCCTTATGGATAAACAGGGATCTTCTGTGCCGAACATGGGCTGAATTGATTTATAGCCAGATGCCCTGGTTTTGAAGATGACCCCCATCCCAAATCTCAAAGGTACTATGATAGCTGATTTTAAAAAAGCACCTTTGGTCAGGCCTGAGGGCAAATGTTTCAACTCTTGTCTTTCTTTGAAGCAGAAATTACTTGTATTTTAAGTTTATAGGGAAAAACTTTTAGCATTTTACTTTTACAAATGACCTGGTATATAAGAATAGAAGCTTATAAAGAAAATCAGATCACAAGCCTTCATGTTACAAAAGGATTCATAGAATTCTAGATAATGGAAATCATCTTTTTTAGGTGTTTTGGTTTTCTAGGTGATCAAAACATAGACTGGGAAGCTGGAGCCAGGAGCCCAAGGACACACACCAACAATGGCACTCAGGGCCAGAACGCAAGTGTCCCGATGTATGTGTACTTCGGTTCTCCTAGGAAAAGTAGCAGCTTTGTGTCTTCTCCACTTAGTTCCCACCTTCTCCAACTCTGTTCACTTGTTGCATGGCCCGGGAATTTATGCCCATGGGAAACTTGCCTTACAGAAAGAAGAACAATGCATTGCCTTGAATTTCGACTGCAAAAGATAGAAAATGTATGCCGAACTGGCATCTTTTCTTTCCAATACTCAGTCCTCTGCCTCTTGGCGCTTGTGGAAATAGGTTCTGTTTTCATTGCCCACCTAAATGGTCAGGTCTGGTGGTAGGGCTAGTGTAGAATCTTACTTTGTTTTCTTCTTGGAAAAGGGTGTTTACTAATCCTCTGATTGTTGTGAGGAGTCAACATAAAAGTGATTTTTCGCATGTTCACTGTGTGTGGGATGAGGCCTAAGTTTTCATTGTGTATCACTGGTGATTCCCTAGCTATTAAATAATAATAATAACACCTGAAATAGGTGAAGTTCTTTATAAGAGTTTTCCCTAAAAAAATATTGTTCTGTTTGTCCTTCTTAAAAATTCACTATAATTAATAAGAGTCCTGATTTAAGAGCTTTAATATTTGAGTTGACCTCTGGTCCCACCCTGCAGGCACTGGCCTTGGCCACTGTCTTGCTTGGGGCCAACCCTCCTTCCCAGGACCTTGGGACTTTGTTGATACTTAGGGATATGGTATGGTAGAGTACATCCTCCCACAGCTGTTTGTTAGGATGTAGGTTTAACTAGCTCTTAAATGAAAAGAGAGATGAATGAACTGCAGATCTTTCATGTCCAAGAATAATTCATATATGATTGTTTTAATACACATCCTGGGTAAAATGAGAAGCAAGAAAACATAAAAATAAGTCTGTAAAATTTTTTTTACATCTTCAGTTTCCATATGTCTTAGTCTATTTTGAGTTACTATAACAAAATACCTGGGGATGAAGTGAGATTTTCTAAAGGTAAGGGGTTTAGTTAGCTCACAGTTCTGGAGGTTCAAGACAAGGCTACAGTGCTGGCTTGGCTGTGATGAAGACCTCAGGGTAGATGACATCACAATGCCAGGACTATGTATAGAAGAGGGATTCAGGGTGAGACTTCAGACTTGCTTATCATAACCAGTCCTTGCAGGAACTACTCTAATCCTGCAGGTCCTGATGCACTACCAAGAGATGGCATTAATCCATTCATGAAGGTGGAGCTACCAATGGCCTAAATATTTTACAGTAAACCCTATATCTTAAAGGTTCCAGAATCTCAATGCCACTACATGGGGTACCAAATTTCCAGTGTATAAACATTTGAGGGCAAAACATATCCCAACTATAACACGGTGATAGTTTGGCTAGGGAAGCGATACATTTTGTGTGTTGTTGAACTGCATCCTTGTTAGAAAACTATGGTATGCAAATAAATAATGGATCAACAGTAAGATGATAGATACAGTGAGAAGATCTGTTCGCTAGGATGACTGGACTTTATAGGAAGTCACAGATTATTCACTTAATTTTTATGCAAAAATTAAGGAGAATCTAGATTCTCGTTTTTCAGTGTGTGGTTCACGGACCTAGGAGCTTGTTAGAAGGTAGAACCACAGGTCATCAAGAATTACTGAAGAGAGATTTGTATGCACATTAAAGTTGACAAAGCACCCTTGTGGATACCATAATAAGGTCTTATCTCTACCACAGAGAAAACTGGCCTTATCATTCATTTGTTTAAATCCATTAACTTTCAGTCTTAAGATGTTGACCAAATTCCGGGGCACCATCTTGCAGATCCTGCAGGGCCAGCCTGGTCTCTGGCTTTCACTCCTCCTGTTGCTGACTGCCTTCTGGAGCTGGCCTGTGGCCTTCACTTTGTCTCTCATTTTTCTGAGTTCTTAGTGCTGCCATAACAAAGTACCACAAATAATGTGGCTTAAAACAACAGAAATCTATTCTGTCACAGTTCAGGAGGTTAGAAGTCTAAAATTCAGGTAGCAGAAGGCTGCCTATGAGCTACCTCTGCAGGCTCTAGGGGAGAACCCATCCTGTCTCTACCAGCTTTGGGTAGCTCTAGGCATTCCTTGGCTTGTGGTAGCTTCATTCCAGACTCTGACTCTGTCTTCACATGGACATTTGCTCTCTGTGTTTTGTTTGCATTTGTGTACCATTTTTGTGTGTGCCAGTGTCCAAAATTTCCTTTTTTTGATGCTAGGGATCTGGTAATTGAACCCAGGACATTCACACTGTGCTACATCCCCGGCCCTTTGTAATGTTTTACATTTTGAGGCAGAGTCTTGCTAAGTCTGCTAATTTGTCCAGACTGGGATTGAGTTTGCAGTCCTCCTGCCTCAGCCTCTCAGAATGCTGGGATTATAAGTGTGCACCAATACACCAGACTTTCCCTTTTATAAGGATATCAGGTTCCTTGGAGCCTCTGGTTAGATTTCATCAACTGATCACTATACAACTTTATTGTATATGTTTTCTGTTTAAAGACACCTTATACATGTTATCAGTTGATTAATTCTGAAGTCACGGCCTTTATCCACAGCACTATAACTCACGCCTCCATGAAGCCTAATTCATGTCTTCTCCATAGGGCATATCACAGCCTTCGTGCACAGAGGAACACTGCACAGCCTTTCAGCACCACTCTCAGGGCCCATTTTAAATGGCAAAATGACCACCTGAAAGGACAAAAGTGTGGAAAATGTCACTAAATAGACCATGAAAAGAACATTGATTTGCAGTAGGTGAGCAAAAACAGGAAGGTAGCATGCTGCCTTGTTTGACCTCAGCTGGGAACATGCCTGTCGGGTGACTTGCATTATTTTCCCCTCTGTGCCTATCTGCTGTGGCCACATGATCACCGTGAGTTACAGATTTTGCAGTCGCAAATAAATTTTAGCGAGCAGAAAAATTCATACTGACAGAATTTGGAAATGATGTGGTTCAACAGTATCTCCCCTCGTAGGCTATAGTTTTAATGACAGAAAACTTCCTGAAACATATCAGGTGATCATTTTTTTCCCAAATGGGTTATGTGTGAAAAAATTTGGGAAGAAATGTATTATTATGACTCTGAATTGAAAGCTGGGCCATTCACACTTCCCTCTTGAGGTTCCCTATTTCTGAGGTTCATACAACAGCAGCAGTTCTACATGCTATGTTGTCTCCTTAGAAGAACTGGAGTCTGTTGCCATCAGATTGCAGCTACTGTTCCTACCCCTACTTCTGCTCTTCCCTTGTCCCACTCTATGTCTTCCGATCTTCTTACAAGGGAGGATCCAACTGGGCTGGTGGCCACTTCCTTGTAGGGTCACCCACTGTGATCTTCGGTGTACAGTGTTCCTAGAGCTCTTCCGTAACTCCTTACTGTAACTCTGTATTGTCTTGGACACAGGACCCTTCATGTTGGTATTTCTCCTGCATCTCAGTTGACTGGACAAAGAACATTTTATCATTTCCCGTTTTTGGAGCCTCATTCTCAATCCATGACATTGAATGGGTATATGAATGAAGGAATGGGACAACTTGAGACCCATAGGGAGCAGATGCACTGAGGACTGTGTGTGGCTTTTCCATTGCCTTTTGTGATATCTCTAAGGTTCCTGCTTTTGTCTCAAAGCAGGGTAGCCTGGAGCATGCAGGTGTGTGGACAGACCAGCTTCCAGTGGATCCCACTGAGACTGAGCTTCAGTTTTGCCCAAGGCCTTATATCAGATATTTCCCGTGTAGGAGGCTGCACCTGGGATTTGTAGACCTATAAGAAGGGAATCTCCTACTCTCAAAGAACTTTCCAGACTGGAGGTACAGCTCAGTGGTAGAGCACTTGCCTAATATGCATGAGACCCTAGGTTCCATCCCTCAGCACTGCAAGAACAAAGCAAAACCAAAAACAATCATAACTTTTTTAGGAAGAGAGGGTGTACAAAGCTGGAAAATTTAACAGTAAGGTGACAGGTCAGTGTAAAGACCTTACGTACAATGGCTGTCAGAAACAATGTTTGACTTTCAGATGAGCAGTGTAAGGTCTGTGAGCACGGTAGGAATTGGAGGAGGAGGGATTGCTTCAGCCTGGAGTGGTCTGCAAAGGTCTGGTAGAGAAGGAGGGTGGAGCCTGGATCTCTGAGGGATGGAGACCTGTTGGCAAAGCCCAGGAAAGAGGAGCAAAGACCTTGGAATGAGCAAGGAGCAGGAAGTGTCTGTAAGAATGAGTAGCCTGGAACTGGAAGGTGGTACAGGGAAAGCCAGCTGGCTCCTGCAGGCACAAATGAGGCCTCTCGTGGTTCCTATAATGATGCTTCTCCTCGGGGAATAGCTGGGGGCAGAGTGTGGAAGAGAGAAGTCGTTCGCAGGCTAGAAGAGAGAGTTCTGAAACATTGACCAGCTCAGCTCATGTGCATGTGAATAGAATTTTCAGAGCTCAGTTTTGGAGGAAATGAGTTACAGAACAAAGAGATTGCTAAGGGTAGAAATGAGGGTTGTAGCATCAACACTCTCCCTGACATCCTGTAGTCTTAAGCTGGTGCTGTCTTTGCTTTTAGATCCCAAATGAAGTGGAAATGTAGGCATAAAGAAGTTGAAGATGAGTGGGAGGCGGTTGAAAGATGTGTTGTTAGTGTTTCCTTTTTGGCTGTATTTTGGCGGACAAAGGAAAGATTCCTGGAAAGAAGTCTGGGAGGAGAAGGGAGAGGCACAGTGTGGACGGGTGGAGGAAAGATGGGCAGGCTGTGCAATGATTTTCTAAGGTAAAGTAAGTCAAAGGGAAGGAGACGCTGTCAGGTCAGAGGAGGGAGTATCGAAGAAATACATTTGAAGGAGCAAATAAGACATCACAGGGTAAAAGCAAAGCAAAGATGAAGGAAGGATAAGGTGCTGGTGAGCTCTGAACGTTGATTCCTTTACACAGCTTTAAGTGCCGCTGTTGGGAGTTTCCACCATTTCTATAACCCAGATCCTCAAAGGAAGGAATTGGTTATCATAACTCTTTACCACAAAACTGTTTTGCTGTGACCATTCTTGGTTTTCAGAGGATAATACTGAAAGTATTATAAGATACTGGTCCTCACAATGCCTGATATGTTGAAACATTCTGCTGTGAACAAAGCCAGGGTAGAAAGGGACTAAGGCTTGGCCTGAAGCAGCATCATGGAAGATGTCTTGGCTCTCTAGCTAGCTGGATGTCTGCTCGACCTGGCCCACCATGCCTGTAGCCCCCTGCAGCTGAGGGCCTGCTCAGAGAATGGCAGGTCTGGTCCATTCCATTGCCCACCAAGGCAGGATGAGTTGGATGGATAAGCAAGGACGGGTGGTGGAGGGTAACACCCCGGAATACACTCATCCAGCCCCCAACCCCAAGGAAGGGGGAAGTAGGAAAGGCTCTCGTGCAGATGGGAGATCAGTAGCAGAAATGTCTAATGTTGTGTTTCCCTTCTGCAGAAGGGTACCATGCCGGTGGAAAGGATGCGAATGCGCCCCTGGCTGGAGGAACAGATAAATTCAAATACAATACCGGGGTTAAGGTGGATTAACAAGGTAAGTGTATTTGGTGTGTGAAATTGTGCTTGTGCACATGGGAGAGAGAGTCCTCGCTGAGGACAGGCCCACCTGCACCACCAAAAGTAAAATTGGCTTTTGTGTTCAGAATTTTAAGCTTATTCATTATAGGAATCAACCAACAATGGTTATCATAACAGAGGTTTCCATCTTCTGACGGTCACCTAAATCTTGAGTTCCCAGAGCAGGTCTCTTTTGGTCTTTTGCAGGACTTCTTGGGAAGCTCCTTGCTGTGGTTTCCTTCAGGGATCCTGACCCTCTTCTTTATCCATGTCCTGCTTTTGTAATTGCTGGCTTTCTAGGATTGAAGACATAGACACTCCATAGTTTTATATTGGGGATGGGGCATTTTGGGTTCTTTCTGGCATTGCCTATGCAAAGAATTTTGGTTTTTGTCTTCTAAAAAATGTCTTTTGTCTTTAAATGAAACCTAGTTTTTATGTCCATGTGTTCTAAAAACGTAGTCATTTATTTACAACTCTCCTTCTTCCCCGGTACTCCTTTACTTAAATTTTAACCTCTAAACTCTAATTCAGTTGATTCTAGCTGTTAGGGGTGATTTGGAAAGAGGTAATGTATGTAAAAGAAATTTAAAAACATAATTATAGCATAGAAAGTAACTAAAAATCATATATAATGCCTACCTAAAGGAAGCCCAAGGGAGAGGTTTCTCTCCTACTACCTGGAATAATTGCAGTTCTTCTGAAGAAATGTCTTTTTACTCTTCTCCACCCGCCCTCCTTTTTCTTTTTAAATCTGAAGGACACAGTGAATAATCTAGCCAGTCAGGCTTTATCTCTACCAGGTATGAGCGCTTAGAGCAAGATTGCAGATTGTGACCTGCTTCTAGTGAGTGGAAACAATATTATGGTTTCTTTTTTCAAACTAATTCCACTTCAGGCTTCATTTTATCTTTTCAGACATCACTCAGATATTACTTCTCTTTGCTCTTATCCTTTTGTCTGTTTTAAATTTAGTGTTATTATATTTGAATATCTGTTTAAATGAGTCTTTTTTGAAACAAGGTGGGTATAGGGTAAATAGAAAGAAACAAACCATGCGGTTATTTCATGTATTCTGCTGCATACTTTTAGTCTTATGTCAAAAAATCTTTTTTTTTTTTTGGTGCTGCTGAGGACTTTGCACATGCTGGACAAACATTGTACCACTGAGCTACATCTTGCGCTCACAGTATATTTTTTAGCCATACTGTATCTATAGTGTTTTACATTTAGATAGGTAATTAACCTTTTCCAAAGAAACAAACAAAAGATCAGATTGTCTTTTTCCTGCTCAATTAGGAGGTATCAGGGCAAGGGAATGGTAGTAAAGGGGACTTGAAGGGATATAGTATATTTAGTAATAAATATGATATGATGATGATAACAATGATGACGGTGATGATAAGAACCAACATTTGTTGAATGCTGTGTGCCAGGCACTCTTCTAAGAAAGGTATATGCACTAGTTCATGTAACCGCCCCCCTACTGTGGGATTCTAGCTTGAAGAAAAAGATAGCAATACCTGATTTGATTTAGAATATGAGATTAAAACAGATGTTCCTGAATTCTGAAGAAATGCAAGTTGTCTGTTTTGCTTTTGGTTTTTCTAAAACACATTGGAGCATGGAGAATGTGGCATCATCTTGCCTCGCTTATGCTGTGTTAGTTGTCTTCTGCAGCAGGTGGAGTAGTGGCCTCCCCAAAGATCCATCCACCTTCTGACCCCCACAGACTGTGAACATGATCTTACGTGGAAAGAGTTTTTGTGCACAAACCTTAGAACTTTGTGGTGAGATCATCTTGCATTATGTAGTTGGACCCTAAATCCAATGACAGGTGTCTTTCTGAGAGTCAGAAGACGGGGTCCACACAGAGAAGCCATGTGAAGAGAGGCAGAGATTGGTGTGATGTAGCCGCCAGCCAGGAATTCCTGGAGCTACCAGGAGCAGCAAGAAGCAAGGAAGGATTCTCCCGTGGAGCTTTTGAAAAGAGTGCAGCTCTGCTGGCACTTTGATTTAGGATCTCCAGCTTCCAGGACTGTGACAGAATAAATCTCAGTTGATCGAGATGTTCAGGTTGTGGTCATTTGTCACAGTAGTCCAGGATGGTTGTTTCCTTAGAGGTGCCCTGCATGGAGACCACTTTCCTTTCATTTACCTTGTCCATGTTCCTGTGATCCAAGACTAGAAGGCAAACAGAGTTCTCTTTTTACAACTGAGCACTTACCTTGGGTGGCCTTTCCTTCTGGGCTTCATTCATTAGGGCCTCCGTGTGAGAGTTCTTTTCCTCAGGAGGACCCAGAAAGGAGTCCTTCCTGCCACCTCATGGATCCTCTGCTAGAGTGGATATGAACCCAGCTGACGGAAGGGGAGTGTGTGCCAGAGGCTGCCAGCCGCTGCTGCCTCTCAGGCCAACTCTGACACAGGAGACCCTAGGCTGCCAAGTGGCCTGTGGTTCCTGTCAGGCAGGCACCCCATTGGGGCCTGGCCACAGAGGGCATGGGGCCATGTCTGTGCCTACAGGCAGTGCCACCACTGTACTGCAGGCCTCAGGTGGGCTCACGATGTTTTTTCTCCATTATGGTTTTTCTACCAGCATCTTTTCAGATGCTAACTTAAGTTTGTCATCATTCATCTATCCACATAAATACTTAACTGAAGCCTGATGTTATTTCCCTCCTACTCACAAGCATTCTAAGAATCCTGTTTATATTTTAGATGGTTTGAACTCATTTCTCTGCTGAAGACTGTAATGACTGTAAGAAAACAGATGCTATACCTGGGTACTTGGTGATTTACTTGTGCTTTAGCTGGTATCTTGGTTCACTTCGTGTTGCTATAATAAAATACCTGAGACTGGGTAACTTACAAAGCTTGCTTGGTATGTGATCCTGGTGGCTGGAGCACCCAAACAGCATTGGGCTCTGTCCTGGTGTGGGCCTTCTGGGCTGTTTTATGACCTGGCAGAGAAGCAAAAAGCAAAGTGTGCAAGTAAGGAAGAAAGAGACCAGGGCAGGGGCTGGCTTGCTCTTTTTTAAACACTTGTTCTTGCGGGAACTAATTGACTCCTCTCTGATCTGGTCTACTCCTGTGAGATGTGTTACCCGTTTATAAGAGCAGTGGTCTCATGACCTAATTATCCTCCATTAAGAC